AATGAACAATTGACGGAACGCAATTAATGCATCAATATAATGTATAATAAAATCAGTTTGTATATCTAGTGCTTTCTACCTCAGTTGACCCCAAAAAGATACGATAGGTTTGTAAAATTGATTAAAAAAATAAACTTTGTACTATTTTTAGTAAATTATTTATATATGCATACTTTTTCACAGTTCTTTGACCCATGGAAGCACAATTTAGGTAGTTAATGTATCGATAAATTGTTCTAGCGTTAAAAATTGTAGCAAATAATATGTAATATATTATGTAAAGAAATGCTACATTCAGGTACTTATATATACAAAGAGGGTTCTCCAGATAGTAGCCAATCCCCAAGATTAAAAGAGTTATACTTATGAATAGTATACAGAATTGTAATTATTATTAACATTCATTTTACAGTAAATATTTCAAAACAAAATCGCCTTTTTGTCAATTTTGTAAATGTGCATTAAGTCAATAGGTACAAAACGGATAAAAATCCAAAATACAATACGAAATGCTTTTAACTTTCTCGCATTTACGAAAGAACGCAACGAGGTAGTTGATTTCAATCAAATTTCATCGTTTAAACGCTACAATGTTCTCATCATATTTTTTAAAACTTTCTGTGAAAATCCGTAACGTTCTTTCTGGATTGCGATATTAAAAGTTTCGATTTCTACTGTTTAATGAGTAAATCCGATTTTTCACAGTGATTGCAAATGATACAAAAGGTCATAGAATCATGTAGTTATTATCCTAATATACAATAATAACTTTAAACTTCTACAACAATAACTATAAAAAAAATTATGTAAGACATACGTAAACGTTACATACAGATAATGAATGCCCTACGGTGTTACTAATCTGTTTTTTACTTATTATGACTAGAGATGTACAAAATGATTTTTAAAAAGTATTTAAATACAAAATGCAAATACTTTTCTGATGTGTTATTTCAAATGTAAAATACAAAATAGATTTCCCCTTTGTATTTTAAATGCTAAATGCAAAATACGTATTTTCAAAATACTGTTTTCAAATAAATCCTATTTGTAGTACTTATTTAATTTTCTACATTTACTTAAGTATAAAAT